AAACACCCTTCGTCTTTTGTTTTACTTCGGATAGGCTTTATTTGGTTTTACTTGGTAGGCCTCAATGCAAGACTCATGTCTAAAAGACTAAAACCCAAGAGAAAACTAGTTAATACTGTTTTATGGAATGGGCCTTTATGAAGTAGCCGTATGGTCTTGGATGAGATTGCAAATTGTTGTATGTTTTCGCTCAAATATGGGCCAAGCCTAGGAGGTCAGAACGCATTCATGTTCATATTTAGTTCTTAATTGCGATTATTAATATTTGCAAAAGAAAGAGGGGAAAGTTGGTGAAGGCGGTTTTATATATAATTTCTCTAATACACCTCTTTTTACACAAGAGTCATTGAACTCTCTTTTTCTTTTTTTTTTCTCCACCTTATGCAAAGTAAATTCCACCGGAAAGTATAGGCGATGACTCAACTGAGTCTCTATACTATAAATTATCGAATTCAAAATTTTAAGCTAATAAGCAAAGGTTTTTTTTTTTTTTTTTTTTTATTAAAACTTTTATATTATATTTATCCGATACGTCCCCTCACATAAGAGCCCATTAAACTTGAAGAATAAATAATACATCAAGTCCCTGCCTTTTTTAATTAAGATTGTTAAAGATTTTATTCTTTTTGGTGAATTGTTAAAGACTTTTTACTTGTATGTTTCAATATGTTTCTTGGAGGGACTAATATTTGTATTTGAGAGAATGGATAATCTCATGTGTTGTTTAACATGATCATTTTTTTTGGAAAAATTCTAACCATCATGGATAAATTAATGGTGATGGAGAATAAAAAAAAGGAAAAAATATTTCTGCAGTTAATGCAGATAAGTTATCTGTATTTATTTTCAAAACGACGTCGTTTTAATATTAAAATCTTAAAAAAATATGAATATAAAGACTATTATAACCCTGAAATAAATTAAAATTACAAAAACACCATGATTTCCGTCTCAAAACGACGTCGTATTGGCTTACTGCAGATAAGTTATCTGCAATAACTGCAGAAAAAACGAACCCTAAAAAAAATATTAAAAAAGAGAATAATAAGATCACCACTATTAATTTACTTATAAATAATTAAAATCATCTCACATGATATGATACTAATGCACGAGAGTATTTTACCTCCATAATAAGAGTCATTGCAGCGGAGCTTCTCCTTAATAATTTTGGAGCTATTGCTAAGACAATAATTTTATTAGGATGCATTTGTCATTAATAACAAATATTTAAGGGTTTAAATTATCTCCTTTTATAGTAGACAATTATCTTATGCTAGTGAGGCATAAAAAATTATGTCATTCTTTTTTTATTTTTTTTATTTTTAAAAAATGATGGGATTCATATAATTTGTTTCTATGCATGAGGCAAGCTATCTTCTATTAAAAGAGATTAATAAATCTTAATATTTAATTGTAACCTTGTGACACAATTAGCCCCATAATTTGTTTCCGATGAATCGCTCATGTTAATACAGTATTATTGTAATTGCAAGTGGGTTCTTAGCGGGCGTTTATTAGAGGAGATATTTTTTTTGTCAAGGAAATATAATTAGTAGGTATATGGTAGCTGTTGACGAACTCGGCAAGTGCACCGGTCGTACAAGTAATAAAGTGATAAAGTAGAGTTGTCGATCCCACGAGGACTGATGACCAAGCAATAATCTATTTATTTAATTAAAGTTGGATCGATCATTAAAGGTTTTCTTGAGAATATTGTGATTAAAGTAAAAACAGAATTTATAAACTTATTTTTGGTTTTTAATATTTTAGAAATTTAATTCAGAATTAATTAAAGCTAAAAGAAATTGATTTAAGTTTTCAATAAAAAGGCGTAGTTAGGATTCAACTTCCCCAATGGTTTCTTAACGAGTTTGCTTATTCTTACGATTACATCCAAGATTAAATTATTAACAGCTCTTTCTATAATTAACTAAATCCCAATCCCTTGGTAATTTAATTCTTTATTCTAATCCAAAGCCTAATCCCTTAGTACTTTTTCATAAAACAAGCATTAACGCAAGAACTCACAGTTATAAAATTCACAAGTCTATCCCTAGATCATGTAAATTCCAGCAATCAACCAATCAGAATCACATACCAACATCCCTATTGTCATATATGACTCATGTGTTTATTTACGAGTGATCAAGTCATAAATAAAACTAAGCATAAATATCAGATTGATTGCATAATTTAGAAACAAGAATGTAATTCATAAGAATAAACAAACATCAACTAAGAACCCATTGGTTCTGTATCTTCCTAACTACTGAAAGTATTTTAGCCTAACATACTCATAACGACAGAATTAAAATCTACTGTAAAAGAAACTGAGTTCATGATAAACTTGTCTAAAAGTGATGATCAATGGTGCAGAGTTGACTCATTCCTTCTCCTCTTCCACGATCCAGTGCTACGCTTATGCTCCTTCCTTCGCTTCGTCTCTGAGTGCCTTCTTTTTTCGCGTTCCAGAATGATTTTTACGGCTTCCTTCGCGTTGTATTTAAAGGGAAAATATGGGCTTTAATTTGCTGATCCGCTCGCTCCATCAGTCGCCTATGCTAAGACCTTAGCGAGCTGCTGGCCATTTTGCTCGCTCTAGCTAGCAACTTTGCTAGCTGCTCGCCCACTTGCTAGCTCTAGCTAGCAACTTTGCTAGCTGCTCGCCTACTTGCTAGCTCTAGCTAGCAACTTTGCTAGCGTTACAATTTTTATTTTATTTATTATTTCATTTCTGATTTTCCATTGCTCCGCGGATTCGTTGCCTTGTTTTGTTACTTTGTTATTCCAGTATTCCAGTCTCAACAACCTTAAACAACAACAAATATTTAGAATTTGTTTATTTGTTGACAATTCATTCTGTTTTACTATTTTATTGTTTTAACACTATATTTTTAACTATTTTAGTCATTATTTGAACTCTTTTTAGCCATAAAACATAGTGTCTTAGACACTTATCAAAACATTCCCAGATTTACTCATTGTTGTCCTCAGCAATGAATTGAATTAAAAACATGGAATAATGTAAGCATGCTTAATATAAAACTAGGCAATACATCAATTTATGAATGATCAGACTTAGACAAAAAATAATAGGATTTTTAAGAACAGACAATTAACTAAGCAGACTTGAAAGTAAGTAAGTTATAAAATCGAAGTATGAGTTCAGTCAATCAAGCATAAAAATTGAGTTTTAACACATCCCTCACTAGATATATCAAGTCACTCATCACTCATCTGTCTAAGGGTAAGTGTTTCACTCAATTTTTCATTGTTTCAATATTTTCATAAGCTTGATAATATTCTCACTTTCCATAATTAATTCACATGCACAAAGATCAAGAGGTCTTTATTCAGGTTGTAATGGGGCTGGGCTGAAGGTAAGATAAATAAGGAAAAATTAGCTAAAATAATTAAATACAGAAAGATCATGGTAAAGTGTAAACACTCAAAAAATAATCATTTTTCTCCTTTCCTTCCTCCTTTTTCTTTTTCAGCACTTTTATTTCTTTTTCTGTATTTTTCTTTTCTTTTTCCAACCTCCAATACTTTTCTCCTTTTCATTTTCATTTTTCAACACTTTTATTTGCATAGAAACAATAAATAATAATTAATTTTATTTTTCACCATTTTTCAACCTTTGCTTTTGCTCCCTTCACCTAACCTCTTTTTTCATCACTTTTGAATTACATGACGAAGTACTCATGTTTACACCCTACCATGAAATTTCTATAATCCAATTTTATTTAAGGTAGACATGTATGTAGAGTGGCTAATTAAGATGACAGGTATTAAGAACAGAAAAGGCTTAAGCTCAAGGAGCTAAACAAAGGATATCATAATGGTTGACTTTTTGGCTAACTAGTTAAAACAATAAAATGCCTCAATCATTTCAATCATGCATGCAAATAATTACTTTAAGGAGAAACAAAGCAAGTTCTGGTAATATTTTCAACAGTAAAATGCACACTGAAAAGAATTTTTCTGTTTAGGCTCAAACCTCACGGTTATATGTGTGCAATTCAGTAATTTATGCTCTTTCTCAATCACTCATACTGTAATTTTATTATTCTTACTGACTGTTAGACTAACTCAATCAATGTTTATTCTTAAAATAAAAAATATATTCTAAGTCATCACATCATAAATTAATTTTTCTGACTAATTCTAACTTAGCATGATTTAGTAATCCACACAGAGAAAAAAAATAAAATAAAATAAAATGAAGAGGAATAAGGAAGAGAATTTTCCCTGAAAATATTTGCGGCTCTTCTCATCATAGGGATCATAGTTGTACCAACTCCTACTACTGCTACTATATATATGGTGTGGTACGTCCCCATTCCCAGATTTAGGAATTTGATGTCCTCAGCAATTAATAAATCAAAAAGAAAGAACTGCACACATCAACTCAAAAATATCATCAGATAAAGTCAGTAGTAGCAATCATGCTCATAACAGAGTGAGAAAATAAAATCTGTACATCACCAGAGTCATCACTAATCAAAATAGATAAACAAAAGAAAAATAAAACTAAAATGGTCCTAAAAAGAAAATAAAATCTGCTGGCATCCTAAAATAAACTAAAATAATTAACTTAAAAGCGATAAATTCTTAGGCTGCCTCCTAAGAGCGCTTGTTTAACGTCATTAGCTTGACGTTACAACTTCATTAATCATGGCGGCTTGTAGCCGGAATTCAAAGATGATGCCATTCCTTTTATCATAAATATTGCTTTGCCGTAATAGTACTCTCGTGCATATGGGCTAGAAGGTTTGGCCTCAAGAACTCTATACTTAGTCTTTCCTTTGTTTGACTTTGCCATCTTCACCTCCGGCTTGCAACTCTCATCTGGCTTATGATCTTTATTTTCTTCTTCTTCAGCCTTCTTTTCCTCAATAAAGAAAATTTTCTCTGGCTGAGTTGTAGGTGGTGGAGTCTTTTTTCAAACATTTTGAGAATAGCCATTTCTCCTTCCACCCTTAAGATTAATTCACCTTTACGCACATCAATTAGTGCTCCAAAGGTTGCTAAGAAAGGTCTCCCAAAGATCATGGGAACAATAGCGTCCTCCTCTATATCCAAGATAACAAAGTCCATCGGGAAGATGAACTTGTCCACCTTAACAAGTATGTCCTCTATTACTCCATATGCTTGCTTGGTGGAGCAGTCAGCTAGTTGTAGAATCATATTGATCGGCTTCACTTCTGTGATTCCCAGCTTTTTCATCATAGATAATGGTATTATGTTGATGCTGGCACCTAAATCACATAAAACTCTCTCTATTGTCATCAAGCCAATCATGCAAGGGATACTAAAACTCCCTGGATCCTTTAATTTCGGAGGCAAACTCTTCTGCGTGATTGCACAACAGTCCTCTGTCAAAATAGTGGATCCTTTTACTGTGAGCTTCCGTTTCTTGGTTAGGATCTCTTTTAGAAACTTAGCATATGATGGCATTTTCTCTAAAGCTTCTGCAAAAGGGATATTGATGTGCAACTTCTTAAAAATCTCTAAGAATTTAGAGAAATTTTTCTTCTGCTCGTGCTGCTGTAACCTTTGAGGATAAGGAGCCTTAACATACGGGTTATCCCCCAACCCTTTCATTCTTTCTTCTAAAGAAGGCTTCTTTATTACTTTTTTACGTGGGGTGTCATTTAATGGTCCTCCAATAATTGTGACATCTCTATCGACATGATCATCAACTTTTTCTTCAGTTGGATTTTCCTTCTCTGCATCTTTTTCACTACTCGGTGCAGCTATTGGTATTTCCACACTTTCCCTTGTAATGATGGCATTACATTGTTCCTTGGGATTAACAATTGTATTACTAGGAAAGGTTTCTGGAGGCCTCTCAGCCATCTGTTTGGCAAGCTGACCAAACTGAATTTCCAGATTCTTTATGGAAGCTTCTTGATTCTTTAAAGATGCTCTCGTTTCTTCTGCGAAATTTGTTTGAGACTGGGCCATCTTTTCGAATGCAACTTCCCATGTGGCCTTCTGACTAGGTTGGGCTTGTTGGACATTCGTATTATTATGTTGGGGCCCATTTTTATAGGATAGACCAGGATGATTCCTCCAGCTCGGATTGTACGTATTTCCATAAGGATTTTCTCTCCTCTGGTTATTCCAGATTCCATTAACCTGAGCTGGATCAATCGTTACCATAGTGTCACAATTTTCAGGAGTGTGTGGTCCACCACAAGTATCGCAAACTACAGGAAATTGAGAGTTAACCGCAGAGATTTGATTTTGGGTAAA